AATTAGGAATCTTATAAACCACCCAAACTGCCAATCCCGTTCCTGAAATGAATAGGCCAACATAGTCTTTACCTATCCTTAGCTACTAAGAAACAAAATTAGAGTTTAAAACATTTTGGCTGGGCTGGCCCGGTGGCGCACTCAGTAGAGTGCGGCACTTGGGAGTGCGGTGGTGCTCCCGCCGAGGGTTCGGATCCAATATGGAGACCGGTCCGCTCACTGGTTGAGCGCGGTGCGGGTGCGACACCGAGGGTTGCGATCCCATTGCCGGTCGCGGTACGGGCGCAACACTGAGGGTTGCGATCCCGTTACCAGTCACGAAAAAAGACAAAAAGGAAAAAAAAAACATTTTGGCTGATGAAAATGTCCCAACAAAAAACAAAACAGAAGAAAATTGTAATGACACTCTAAACTGAATTAAATATAGGAAGACAAGTGTTCGCGGGTATTAGAAGAAAATCTGAAAGAGAAATAAAGAAACTGAGAAGAAATGAACAAAAGTAGAAAAAAATTAGATGAGTGGATTGTGTCAGGAAAGAAACAAACTATTGGACTTTAAGGATAAAGACAAACTCCTCAGGGTCTCCAGGCAAAATGATCCAATTAATTTCAGGGTGACGAACACAGGCTGGCATCAGACTTCCCGAGAGCGAAACACAGAGCAAGTCAAGGAGAGAGACACAGCAACAGCGGGAGACCTGCACACACCGTCAGACACACGGACACAGCAGCCCTAGAAAACACAGGGCATAGGTCTCGTAAAGTGACATGTAATTTAACATCTCACTAATACAGAGCAAAACATGCACAAAATCAATCATTTATTAGGCCACAAAGAAAGCATCAGGAAGCATCTTAACATAGAATTGTTACCAACAACCTTCTCTGATCACAAGCCAATAAAAATGGAATACGTTTAAGCTTGCTATTTTAAAAATGCCCTTGGATGAAAAGAAAAATACAGACTTAAATTATAGAATGTCGTTAAAATAAATATAATAAAAACACTATGTAGAACAGTGACCAGAGGAAAAGTCATACCTTAAACATTTGTACCATTAAAAACAAAAGAATAGGGCCGGCCCGGTGGCCCCTGGAGAGTGCGCCGCTTGGAAGCACGGTGGTGCTCCCGCCGAGGGTTCGGATCCCATGTGGAGACCGGTTCCCGCTCACTGGCTGAGCGCGGTGTGGGCGCAGCACCGAGGGTTGCGATCCCGTTACCAGTCAGTAAAAAAAAGACAAAAAGGAAAACAAAAAACAAAAAAAACGAAAGAATAAAAATAAACGCGTTAGATTCCCAACTCAAAAGGCTAAAAAAGGAGCAATTAAGTAACGAAGGGGATGAGTGAGAAGGTAGCAGTGACCAAAGCAGAAACGACAGGACAGAAAACGGCAGATGCAGCTGACGAATCAAAGCCTGACTCTCTGAAATATTAATAGAGAAGACGAAGCGGTTGCCAGCTTGAATAAGAAACAAGGGGGGACCGTAAACACACAGAGTAAGAAATGACAAGAGGAAGGAAAATAACTTTGGGGGCAGAGGGAAAAAATAACTAATAGAAAGTACTTTGCTGACCTCTATGCAAATAATTCTGAAGCCCCAAATGAAATGGATACATTTACAGGAAAATTCAATTTACAAAGGTGGACTCTCTTAGAGAAAAAAAGCTTAAACAGACCAATTTCCATATAGGACAAATAAAGCTGGCCAGGAACTACCCCATAAGGATAGTTTTATTGAGCAGTTCTGCCAAATTTTGTAGGCCAGATAATTTCACTGCTACAAAAATTATTAAGAACATAGAAAATGAAGAACCGTATCTGGATGACCCGTGTGAGGCACAAGCGTGACACTGACGTATGCACCTGACAAAGACAGTCCCCAAAATGAATGACCCCTTGAGACTGTCCTGACAGTGAGCTCCAGCCGAGAGGTTTCAGGGGCCCCCTGTGCCGTCGCACGACGTGAACACTCGATGCTGTTTCTGCCTATTCATTCCCAGGTTCCGGTGACAGCAGAAATATCCTCTCTGTGTAAGGATGTCGTCTTCAGGGCCCGGGGGGCGAAGCTCCATTTCGTACTTTTCTACAGTTTCCATTTCTCAGATGAGTTTCCCTGTCTGATTTCTCCATTCATCCATCAACCAACCCTTTAATCCCATCGTGTCGTTAATCAATTCTTAGACTGACTTTAGCATACTTATAATGGCTGCTTCAGACCCTTCTCTTCTACAGCCAACTGTGGGTCTCCTCGGAATCAGTTTTTATTAATGCCTTTTTTTCCCCATAGGTCATATTTTTCTGTTTCTTTGCACATCTAATGACTTGTGTGGGACGTTGCCGATGATACATTGTTGAGCATCTGCATCCTGTTGTCACCCTTGAATGGTGCCGACTTTTGTTATGGACTGAACTGTGTCCTCCCAAAATGCACATGTTGAAGCCCTAACCTGCGATGTGACTGCATTTGGAGATAGGACCCTTAGGAGGCTATGAAGGTGAAGTGAGGTCAAAGGGGTGTGGCCCTATTCAATGGGGCTGTTGTCCTTTTAAGAGCCTGTTGTCACCCTTGAATGGTGCCGACTTTTGTTATGGACTGAACTGTGTCCTCCCAAAATTCACATGTTGAAGCCCTAACCTGCGATGTGACTGCATTTGGAGATAAGACCCTTAGGAGGCTGTGAAGGTGAAGTGAGGTCAAAGGGGTGTGGCCCTATTCAATGGGGCTGTTGTCCTTTTAAGAAGAGAACGAGACACCAGCACACACTGCCCATGGGAAGACACAGCGAGGAGGCTTCCACCTAC